ACCTACTCTACTTGCAGCTGTAGTACTAACCACCCAGGACATGCTCCTTCTGTTGCGCTTTGTCGATGTCTTAATGACTTAATAGATACAATTTACGTGTACGAGTATATGACAATTTTTCTTCGTTTTGTTTTATTGTGATATTTTTTAATATTGTTTAGTTTAATAGTGTTTAGTACTATAATAATTGTATTATTTTAAATAATATTGTGGCTATCGTCGAAACGGAATATGTTATAACTTATAATTGATTTGATTTCTAAGCCTTTTTCAATGAGATCTTTTTCTGAAAAAAGTGAAATTATTAAAACTGGTAGGCTTTGTCCGGTAATCTCTAATATTACAAGTGTTCTCAATGATAAAAAAAAGAGAATATATTCAGGCGACATTTTAATACTTCACAGTATGAATGTATGATAATACTATTTGGTTGGTAAAACATATTGCAGATCTACTTAAGGTCAAGATAGGCTATCTTCTCTTGCAATATTATCGACTGAGAAATAAATATTAGAAGACTTAAAAATGAGCCCTGATTTTTACAATAAATTTGTTGGAAATGAATGAAAAATTGATTTCATTTATAAATAAAAAAAATATTAAGATAACCTATTTCAATTAAAAGAGTTAGTCAAGTCTCAATTAAAATTATTCAAGTATTATTCAAGTAAGTGCTATTGTATAACATATTACATTAAAGTCTTTTTTATAAATGAATACAAATTTGTGTATTATTTATTAATTATAAATTAAATAGAACTATAATACATTATGATAAATGAGCATTCCCATACATCGGAGTTAGTATTCGCCACTGATCCAAAATAATTTTTTATGAGTGATCTAAAGCTAGAACTTTGATGAAATTCGTAAAAATCACGAAAATTTGCAAATTATTTTGATTTAGAAAAGCATTAAAATATTTTTTTTTTAATCTTAGGTATGAAAATGTAATACAAGACTCCTTTAAAGTTTGTTTACCCTAAAAAAATATTAATTTATAGTTCAAATGTTTACAACATTTTAAATTTAAAATGTACAAATTATTTTGTAGTTAAAATTTATAAAATGTTCTACTTGAAAATGTAAAACAAGGTTGCACGTAAGTAATTAATTCTGTAACCAAAAAAATCCAAAATATATAAAAACACTTTTTTTATAGTTATTTAATGTTCAAATTTGGATGAAATTACATACTAAATAACCAAGAATAAAGAAGTAAGTTATTTTGTTGTAATTTAAAAATATTCGTGTGTACTTGAAACTTTTATGGTATATTATTATATTTTATACACACAATGACTTTTCAAATGTACATTTTGGCGAAAATGAATTTAACCTATACTGTAGTACTAATGCCTAATATTAAAATATCATCAAATAGGTATACTAATAGTAATATAATAGGTTGAAAACCGTCTTCACTCAGAATCGTTTTTCGTTTACAATGATTTTAAACCATTGAATAAGTCCGTTACAGTGCCTTCTAAAAACACATAAATACATAATTAAAAAAAAAAATTTGTCGTTTTTCAAGAATATGAATATGAAAATGAAACTACACAACTCGTATACTTTTGCAATAACTTTTGGGGAGGCTTAGTTAGATTTTGGAGACTAAGCTTTTCCAAGCTACCCCTTTCCCATTTCCGTATATGATCTAGTGTCAAGTACAGCTTCAACAGGCTTACTCTTGGTTAATTCAAGAGTAAGTTGCACCTAAGTGATGGAGCTGCATTCCGTAATAAAGGAATAAGAAAATATTCTAAAACATGAACATTTTGAAAACAATATAATATTTACTAATAAAAATGTATATCAACTAGTTTTTATGATAAGGAAATATTTTCATCTTATTAATTAAAATTCTAGGCAATATGTTTTTTTCCTGATAACCATACAGCAGAGAAGCCTCTGGGTGAACAATGCTACTCCTCAATCATCAAAAACCATATTTATAATTTAACAAAAAACTTTGAATAGGTTATATATTGTAAAAATAATCTATGGACATTATTCATACGAAAAACTACTAAAAAACGTACTTTTATGTATTTCATATAAGAGCATAAGACTACGAGAATGAATATATCAGATTGTAAACCATTTTACCATTTACAACTTATAATTTGGATAACGCTCTGCTGCACATTAGGTGTATAAAGAGTCAAGGTAGATGTGTTAAATTTGAATTCAATGATATAAAACTATTATACGAAAAACTATTCTGGACGAAGACTGTAATATTACGAAGTATATTATTGTGATTAAAGTAATTTATTTCACTATTATGCACTAGTACTACATTAGGTTAAATTTACCTGTAATATTATAATTCGTTTCAGACAAAACTATAAAAAACGTTGGGAAGGGTTCGATTCGCATGGAGATTATTATTTTATAACACTATTATGAGAACTGCATAGCGCGATCGGAGGATAGTTTGTTGCGGCCGCTATTTGGAGGCCGAAATAATAGTTTTCCATTCATCAATCGTGAACCGCAGCACAAAATATTATCATTCCTGAGGGTTCTCTGTGTAATGCGAGAAATTTCCGAATTCAGTCCCGGGCTTCTGAAAATGAACAAGTGAAATGAACGGGGGTGGAGAAACTATATCCGAATTCCGTCCCGGGTGTGGAGTAACTGTGTCCGAATTCCTTCCCGGCTATGTTCTTTTCTACAAGTTTTTTCAGTTTTTTGCCTTTATGGGCTAGATAACAATGTTTTTGTACGGTTGATGTTCTTTTTGTTACCAAATATGAAATAAGCTACTAACATCTTATTAACGAGCTTTTTCCTATCTTCTGGTAAAAAAAAAAATAATTAAAATAATAATTAGACATAAGGCTGTTTTGCTGGATTCTAAATTTTTAAACATGCCAGCAAAGCTGCCAGTCCTAAGTCTGGAAAAGATATGAAGGAAAATGTCACCACCATATCATAATTACTAACAGGTAATTAAGGGTCACGGGAGAATTTGGTACCAGCCGTAATGCGGATGGTGACGTTCCATTGGTCAGATATGCGGACTGTGGTCATATACTGACTCGGCCGATAGAAAAATTACTACCGCGAACACAGCTACTCAGTACTATGGGTAGTGGGTACTAATATAGTTACATGTAATGGAATATTTTGCAGCCTCACAGATAGATAATTTGCCCAGTATCTTGTATCTCGTTTCGAGGACGTATGTCGGCTACATCGTTATTCATTATAAATTGTTATTCTTATAACGACGATAATATAAATATTATATAATAATACTATATCCAATAAAATGACTAATTCTTATTAAACGACTGATTTGAGTATTTTCGTCTTCGTCAAAATACGATAATATGTTTTCTCGGTACCTAGTTACCTACTAGCTGGAGAAGAGCTGCCTTCAGATTGGTGCAAATAGGACTTAAGTGCATAACTTGGGATCAAGTTTGTATAAAGTAGGTAGGTTAATAGGTATTATATTTACATATTTTATTTTAGGTTTATATTTTCAGTTTTGTTATCCCGAGGCACGTAGCTAATATTGCGCAATTGGAATGGCCTAATTATGGGTCAACAGTTTTCTTGGATTGCTAACATTTATTCACCCCACCCCAATAAAAAATTATTTTTAACATTAAGGTTAGGAATTAAGTTTATACACTTTAAAAAAAAAAATTAATTATATAATTATGTAAAAATTAAGTATATTTAATGTATATTTTATATTTATTTTAAATATTTATATTACACTAAATATGGATTACGAATTGCGAAAACCAGAACCCACTGAAGAAAATAATATTAATATATATTTATAGTAGACCCAAAATTTGTATTTATTAACATGCTTATTATTTAATTAAAAGTAAACAATATTACAATAATAATTAATTAGTGCTCTGTGCTAATGATATTATGTTGGCCTCAAGACCCCCGCACACACTTTCGCAGTTGTGATAAAATTGTATTGTATTTAGGCGAAACATTATTATTTATTTCTCATTAATGATTGCATAGTAGAAAATTGACGACTGTATTAATTATATTTAAAGATTATAAATAGGCACCTAGTACCTACCACGAATATTATAAATAATGTTATAATCTAAAAATGTGTATTATAATTCGTGGTACCTTTAAAAAGCAATGATAGGAAATGTCGAAATAGGAACGTGGTCACGTGGGTTCATGAGACTTCAATACTTATGCATTGTGTCTTATGTAAACATAACGAATAGGACGAATAACTACGAACTATTTATATTCCTATTCTGACCATGCTATTCGAAAATCGAATTGAGTCCGGTGCGGTGAATTACAAGCTGTTTTATTAATATTCTTATTTGTTATGTTAACACAGAACACAGCGTTATAGATAATTAAATATTAATATAATATAATATGTAAATATGATAATAATAACAAATATTATATCTAGTAAAAGTTTTAAAGTATGATTTAACTTTTTTATCCACCTTGAACTAAGATAGTACTATCTTAGTTTGTGCCATAGACAGATGTAAACAACTAGATAGCTGCTGCCGTCTATAATCCCCAAGCACTGTACAGAATTTTGAAGTTTGTCCGCCATTTGCCTAAACGGCAATGTTTACATTGTTATGTGATAACCACGGATATAGATACTATGGTTGCACAACGAGCACGGATATGACGGCTCTGAATGGGGTCTGTCTATACGCAGTCGATTAGACCGGATCTAGGACAATCGGTCCCCGGACAATTGGTCCCCGCGAAAAAATGCGGCATGCGGACAATTGGTCCCCGTCATAATTTCATACACGGACAATTGGTCCCCGGCTTAAAAGTTAAACACAAAATAATTTTTTAAAACATTCTCATATAATTTAATTCAAATGACACTGAATAAAGTAAAAATAATTAAAAAGTTAAATAAAATTAATAATAAAATTTATTTTGTAATTAAATATAATATTTATTTTAATAAAATTTTTTAAAACTGATTTTCAATAATATAATAGGTACGCTTAGTGAATAAAATATAATATACGTAATATGGTCAAATAAAAAAATAAAAATGTATATAATACCTTGTGAGAATAAAGCCTTGATAGCGTTCATCGATATTTTACAGCAAGACTTAAGGAATACAAATAATTCAAAAGTTCATCTTTAGAAAAGTTGATGTTAAAACTGTTACAAATAGATATAATTTTTTTTTCCCTATCACTTAATGGATTTAAAAAAATATTCAAAAATACATTTTCATCGTTTTTTGTCAAAGATATCATCGTTGTAGAATTAACTAATTGTATACATTCAATAAACATATAAATACTTGGATGTTTAATCCTGACGATATTTTGGAATTTATTGTTGAATGCTTCTGATATGTTATTAGTGCGGGCATCACCTTTTTTTGATGCATTATATACACTCCATAAATGTGGTGGAAAAATCGGTGGCTGTCGTTTGAGATACATGGTTTCAAATTCAGTATTCGTTGCTTTATAACTTCCATTAACGTACGTTGCATCGAAATAAGTTAATATGTCGTCTACATCGTCATTGTAATTAATTGTATCATACAATATAGATATTCCTAAAATAAAAAGTAATAATAAATAATAAAAATAATTATATAATAATTCATATTTTATTACCTTTTTTAATCATATTCACAGGTAAGAATGCCAGAGCACTAATTAATTTTACAGCTTGTCTGAATTTTTTATTTTCTTTATATTTTATGGCTAGTCCTAATTCTTGCACTTTTCTCCAAATTGATTGATTTAAGTGAAAATAGCATAATTGGATTGCTACTTCATTTTCAAATACATCTTGAATTGCTTTTATCACAGCTTGTTCGAAATCAATCGAAATCACTTTAACCGAAGAACAATATTTTTTTAACACCAAAAGCATTTCTTTATAGGTTTCTTTTGTTTTTTTTTGCAGTAATACGTACACCATCGGTAAACTTTTTTCCCCTATTTGAGCATGAATAACATATACTTGAAAGAAACCTCGTGGACAGGTTGCAAAAGTGCCATCCATAAATATATGTTTTGATGATGATAAAGATTTTAAACATAACTGTGAAGCAAAAACTAAAATTCTATTCTTATTATTTTTGTTGTCATAAAGAAGAAATTGCTGTGGATCTATTCCACCGGTAGTGGCCCATTTTGAATTGTCCAAGTTTAATTCATTTATTGATTTTAACTTTGGGTAAATATTACTACGAATTCGTCTTAAAGATCGTTTAAAATTATTCTCAATAGGTATTTCTTTCCTACCTTCTTCAGATAAATTCATTACATTTTTCGCATAAATTCTAGATGGTAAATTTAAATTTTCTTGAGCGTCTTGTTTCATTTTGTAAATGGCTCGTTCCGCTTCCAAAACACCCGAATTAGTTTCATGATTATGTGGCCCAGATTTAATTACATGTTGTAAATCATTATCGGTAGTAATACTACCATTGCATTCGTTTTTATGAACACACACCCAACGTTTGCCATTTTTAACAAGTTTTTGGAAAACATACAAAAAATTTTGGTATCCTAATTTTATTTTCCCGTGGCTGGTTTTAAAATATTCTATTGAACACTGCATGTCTGCATAGGTACGAACTAGACGTATGTATACAAACTAGACGTATACTAACTACGGATGTACAGGCAACAGGTGTACAGCGATAACTGATGAAGGTAAATCGATCGGTCAGCAATAAAAGATTATTATTTATCAAGGGAAATATTTTATTACAGTTTGCTAAAAATAGTTAGTACTGGAATAGTTAGTACTAGTAAGTACAACCTAAGATAGCCATTTTGCCTGTAAATTCTTATATTTACAATATATACACAACAGGAATTTTTCGGGGAGGGGGGGGGGC